GTTAAATTAATTTCTATTCTTATTCAAAAATATTTAATAAATACTATATAGTTTTGATTTTGAGTTGATCAGTTAAATTATTTCTTGATCCATATTATCTCGGCTTGGTCCATTTTACCCCATGGGATGGTCCATTTTACCCCACCTATGGGATAAAACGGACCAAAATTAAGTTTTTAAAAATTTTAATAATAATTCAAACTTTTGCAAATTTTGAAAATTTAACATTATAATCTTATAATAAACATTCTACAGTTTCTTCATGCTAAATTTCAGTTATTTTTTGTCATTAATATAAAAAATATAGCCATTTTTGCTTAAGGGGTCCGTCTTACCCCACCTTCCCCTACAGTGTTATATTATTTTATACTGAATTTTTCCAATATATTTAATTATTATATACTTAATTATTACATTAATTAAGAAGTAGTAAATAGTTCATATTGAAAACTGCTCGTTTTCACTGCCTTATCAAGGCTTTTCTTAAAGGAAAATTATCTGACAAGTATTGTTTCAAGTGATTTCTTATAGCTGTACTATTAAAACCTTCTCTTTCAACGTTAGATGTGGATCGTGGTTGAGGAAATAACCGATTAGATTCTTCAACCTCGTCCAACCACTGAATGATAAACCGATCATTCTTACTTTCAACAAAGTTGTGCAAGATGCAACAAGTTGTAATAATTTCAGGCACAAATTTGTAATCAGATTCGATTCGTTTCTGCAAAATCCTCCACCTAGCTTTTAATCTACCAAATGCCATTTCTATAGATACTCGGGCAGAGTTCAAATATACATTAAAGGACTCTTCTTCCGCTGACAATGAGCCAGAATAGCCTTTTAGAAGCCATTCCAACAACGGATAAGCTGGATCACCAACAATCATGAAAGGTATATCCATTCCATTAATGTTTCGTGTAACCTGAAATGTATCAATTTTAAATTATTCAGTAATGTATTTAATGATTGAATTAAATGATAATTTCTCTAATATTGTATGTACCTGAGGTATGATGATATTAATATTCTTATACAGAACACTATCTTTCAAAACAGCAGCGTCATGAGTGCTACCTGGATGTTTTATAACGACGTTTCTGAATCTGTAATTAATTTTTGTATTTCATGAGAAAAACAAGTAAAATTTGATTTTTTTTGCTAAATATTGTAAAACATTACCTTCCATTGTGATCAACAATTGCAAGAACATTATACGACGTCCATCCTTTTCTGTTTACAAAATCTCTGTAGCCTTCTTTCGGTGCAGTGATTGGTATGTGCGTACCATCGATACTGCCAATAATTTGTGGAATAAAAGATTTTTCTTCGAACTTTTGTGCTATGTGATTTGCTTCAAGCTCATGGGGCATATATATGTAATCTCGAAGCATTAATTTATTGATAGCTTTCACTACTCTATATATACACTTTTTTACTGTTGATTTGTGTATGCCCATTACATTTCCAATTACCCTGTACTCTGCACAACTTGCTAGTTTGTATAGAGTAACAGCTACTTGTTTTTCTACAGACAAAGCATCTCTCGATTTTAACATTTGTTCTTTTGGTTCCAGTTCAGCTTTAAGATGATTGCATAATTCTAAAAAACTGTCTTTAGACATCCGAAAACTTTCTAGCCATTCTATTGTAGTGTAGTGATTATTCACAATTCTATGCCAGAAATCATTACTCCTTTCTTTCATCCATATTCTCCGGTACCGTATACCGTCTATAAGTAGTGTTAGAGGTCTCGAATCGTTAATTTGCATCCACTTGATGAGCAGATCGTTTCTTTGCTCATGACATAACCTCTGGAAGTTCATAAGCATACGACGTTTGCGAATAAATACATTCCGCAAGTGCTTCTTTCGAACATCTTGATTTTTCTTCGTGATCCCAAGCAACATAGTAAAAAATCTCATTATAGTTTCCTCCAAATTCATTTTTCGAAATTATTTGTATTCACTTTCAGATAGACTAGACAGATTAACAAACTCGACACTTCACATATCATGCATACGGTGTTGCACGCGTACTTTATTTGTACCTTATTCATACTTTCGTCATGCAATATTCGCTCCATGTAAACGTTACCGACTTAATTGTATAGTACGTATCATTTCGGTACGCGTACTAAAACACGAATACGGTGTAAACTAAGCCATTGAGCACTATCTGGTGTTATAAATAATAGGTTTGAAGTTCAAAGCTAAAGAAAAGGTAACTAGTTAGTTGCAGAAGTGATCGTAAAGTTAATTAAAACAAAATTGTTTATTAAACATAAGTTATGTTGAATTTGTTTGTTATAGATCTGATTACCGCAACGGAAGGACTCGAGAGTTGCAAGTAAGCTCTGATTATTATTTTATACTAGATTGTTACTTAATAGTTTATTTAATGTTGTTATTTGTTTAATAGGTTTATTGTTCCTTTAAAGATGACTGTGTGAATGCAGTATATTAGTTATAGATGTGATTCTATGAACCAAATGTAAAAAAATGTTGTAATTGTTTAATAATTATGTAATTCCAATGGTTATATGTAATAATTTAACAAAGAAATAAATAATTTATAATTCTATCAAAATTCGTTTGTTTTAATAAATACTGGCATGTGTAGTCGTATAATGTTTATACAATAGTGTGTATATTGTAAAATAATGTTATGCAATAAAACGTATTTTAATTAATAATAAATGGATAATGTGTATATGAGAATGGCAAGAGAGAAATGTCGAGCGAGGTTATTATGAAAACGCCCTATGGGAGGCGCTAAGGATTATGAGTTTTAGAACGCTCTACGAGAAGCGCTCAAGGAGATGAGTTTTAGAACGCTCTATGGGAAGCGCTCAAGGGGAGGAATTGTTTAGAACGCTCTATGGGAAGCGCTCAAAGAGAGGAGGGAAGAGCTCTATTTATTACACTTTATCACTTTAATTATTAATTAATTAATTATTAATTATTAATTAATAATTATTGTTTATAAAATACAACAATTTCAATTAGTAAAATGAATTGACTAATTATGCCGTAATTGAATATATAAAATTGATAATTGGCGCGTAAGTGGCAGCAACTTGCGACTAATTGTTTAAATTAATAATACAAAAGTCAATTAATAAATGTATACCTTTATGATAGTTCGAAGATATGATTAATTTATAACAGCTTGCTGAGAATAATTAATTAATTAAGCACGAGGTTGAAGAATAATTAATTAAGCGACAGTGGTTTTATTATTTAACAAATCCGCAAAGCGTTAGTACTGTTACGTCCTAACCTGGAGGGAAAGGAGCGGGTCAGGTATACGGACGGACGCAACAATAAAAGTATAAATTTGTGGTGTTTGCTCGCTGGTCGGTATGAGGAGAGGCGACCGCGCGAGCCGAACGATTTTCCTTGGCTGAGAACAGATCAACGATCGTAAAGATCGATATTACCCTGTTAGAGGCCTCAACCAATCGTTCGTGGTTCCCTTTTCTGGTCAAGAGAATTAACTCTTTTTACCAAGGGCGGAACCTCGTGCAATTTTTCAAAAGGAGAGGTGTTTGAGAGAGAGAGAGAGGGGTGAGAGAGAGAGATGATTGTGAAAATTAGACTTACTACTTGGATGTCTTCGAAATGTGTTTAGATCTCCAATCCTAAAGTTCAGGTGTAGTCGGCCTTGAGGTGTACTTGATCCTCCTGGGGTCAGTTAGTGGTATCCGCACTGGGTCGATCGGAGATTGATTGCAGCTGAGGGGGATGAGAGTGAAGGGCCACGGCCGATGAGCGTTATATCCTTCGCGCCGGGAAAACTGATCGGAGGCGTTGCACAGATCCTCGTATTCGTAGTCAAAATAATTTCTTTGAACACCGATGTATTCTGAATTGTCTTCCGTAACCGATCTCGTGTACTGGAGAAGTAATTGGCGCGCACGGTATTTTACTCCCCCACGTCGCGTCTTAGATTTGGGCATGAAGGATAATGTCGTCAATCTGAAAATTCCAGGCTAAAAGCGTGCGGTGGTCCGCACCACGATTAGCGGGGATACAGAAACCAAGTACAACGTGCGGTGGTCCGCACCGGAGCAAATAGTTCTGAGTGCTGATTCAGAGAGATAACTGGGTGGTTGGGTGTTAGGTAGGGTGTAGGTTGTACACGAGAAAAGAGATCGAATAGTTTTAACAGACACTTTACTGAATCTATTTTATTACAAACTCTTACAGTCAATTAAAAATGTTGCGAATTGTTTCTAAGTCCCAATATTCAAACTGTTCGGGTAATACTAAAAGCCTCTCTCTACTAACTGGCTGACTCTCTAACTAAAAACTGCTTAACTGCCTAACTGCCGCTTTCACGGGTGGGTGTCTTTCTTTTATACTCGAAATTTTGGGTTCTGGAAGGGAGACATTCCTTCCGAGGGGTTGTTAATAAAAATAAGATAAAAAAGGTTGTTTGAAGATTAATAAATGGATTGCTCGAATGACATGTATATCGTTCCGTCGGCTTTTCTGTCGGCGAAAATTCAAAGTCTACTATCGCGGTCGCGTGTCTTATCTCGACAAATTTTCGATTGAAGACTTAAAAGATTATTATGGTACATTCGGGATCTTAAATCATTACAATAATATTTTCGGAACGTTTCTTTGAATTTTCCCGACTGGTCGTGAGAAACTTGTGCAAGGGAAAGGTCCGTACAGGACATAACAGTACTTTAGTAGTAAAATAAGCGTTAACAATTAATTAATAGACTTACTTTTGTTGCAGTATTTGGATTCTACTGTTTTATTGTAGCCTGGTTGATCCTTTTAATAATTGTTCGTCTTTTGTTGGTTAAATAATTGAATAGTCAATTGGTTGAACACTGAAGAATACCCACTTCATTTATTTAACACTTTTTATCAATGGGTCTACAAAGTTAAAGTGACAGAAGGCCGACTTGTACTGAACATAACCTCACTTTTATATAGGTATACTATGGCACTGAGAGTCCGAACTGTGATGTGTGAATACTGACTACTGAATGTTGAATGAATAATAACGATAGTGATAATGATGATGTCGTGTGCTCGTTGGGAGCCTCCTTATATACTGGCTATCCCTTCTCTATTGACTTGCGCAGTGGACATCGTATGATCGATCGCGTGATGTGTACATTCCTTTCTTATGAGATCATCGAGTCACACCTGTGTTTACATGCGTACAGTCTAAGGCGAAAGTTAGGTCGGGTGACAGGTACTCCTAAAAGTATTTCGGTCTAGTTACATTTTGTTGGTACTAGTGGCCGACCATAGACTATTCCAAGAGTGAGTTTACACTACATGTCATTTTAAGGCTGCGGATTACTATTGTTTAAATTTATGGTTTAGACAAAATAGATCGTTGTTTTATCGTTGTAGCTTACTTGTTAATAACATTAGTGGTATTTTGTATAAACAATTAAAGGTTATAAACGCAATTAGTGTAATATTATAATTATTCTACGACAGAGATACTTATTCATTTTTATATTATCCATATTGTTAAACCAAGTGAATAATTGTCAATAATTATTATTAATAATAAGGTTTTAAAATTTTCCGTGTATATGAGAGCGAGAAAAGAGAGAGAGTAAAGTATGGGGACCTTAGGTGGAGTCGCCATACGTAACACCCCCCTCCTTAAGATGAGAGCATCTCTGATTAGATGCGACGGCGAGCCGGTTGAGCCCTGGACGTGCAGTAGGGATGTATTCATCCATCCTCTTTTCTAAGTGTTTGTATGCAGGTTGAAGCTCGGAAATCTTTTCTTTTATTTCCTTGCTTTTCTGCGTTCCGGTTTCTTGATGATCAGGCATCGGTGAAGAATGTTTTATGATGATCTTTTCGGTCTGACTGTCGACGATCTGTCCAACAGCAGTGCAGGTTAGTGATGTTGTTCCTCTATACACTAGGTACAAAGTGATTGCAGTAATGATGAGTAGCAGGAGGATCCAAATGGTCCTGAAGTAAGAAAGTGCTTGGGTTTTCTCTGGTTTTCTTCTAGGAGTTCCCCAAGTGCTGCGTTCTGGTTGCAAGGATTCAGGGATGGTATCAAGCTTCTTCATGCGTGGTGAGAAGGTGTACCACTGGCTTTTTATTTTATATATAGCTGTAGCGAGAGGGTCGCAGGTGATTTCCGTGCCCTTATTTGTTAAGAGCCGAGTCCTTGGCTCCAAGTACATTGGTTTACCATGTACGAGCACTGGTAGTTCAAGGTAACAGCTTCCAGGTTCCTCGTAGCAGGGTTGGTACCAGAGTGCATCTGATAAGTTGTGCTGCTTCTCCTCTGATTCTGGCAGAGTATCCGTGAGTTCCCATGACCGAGAAGGCGAATAATGATGGGTCTTTGTAGGCCAAAGTGATTGAGGTTTTCAGTTCTCTCTTTTTCTCGTTGCACTTAATAATACAATGATTCGTATACACTGTTTTAGTATCTACATTATGTTTAAATAAATGAATATCTCTGATTACCTTAAGCTTATTCACTACAATGTGATTTCGCAGGTACGTCGTATTATGTTCTCTTATAACTAATAGGAGATGTTCTGCTTGATGTACGAGGGCATCGCAGGCGTCGTAGAGGGTGCGGATGAAGAGGGTTATTTTATCGTCGGATATTCCGTACGCTGAGGAGTAACCCTTTTGAGATAGCTTATGCGCGAAACCTCGATATACTAGAGTCTGTTGCATTGGTAGGCAACCAATTTGAAAGTAAGGCGACCAAAAGTTATTATATCCTTCTTCGTCCGTACACTCGAGATCGGTGTAAATACATATCGTGCCAACGGGCAAAATTAACTGATTACGCACGAGATCGGTTTCAGTGTTATAACGCTTAAAAATAATATGAACGAATGTATAAATTTCCTCAACGGGATTATTTGTCTTATATAATGGGATAGAACGACTATTAACAAAATTAATTTCGAGATTGGTTAAAGACAAGTTTCCTAATTGTAAACGCCCGGTGGCGTGTAAGTGCGCACAAGCCCGCATGCTTATGGGTAGGTAATATCTTTTATTCTTTTGTATTTTCTTTTTTATTTTACTATCTAAGTTTTTAAGACTAACGCTATTGTATATTTCTACTCTACAACTTAAGATATCTATGGAATTATAACGAGGTTTTAATGAAGCTTCTACGACAATCTCGTGGAGATGAAGGTCTTCTTCATCGAAAAAACAATGAGTGGAATCGTCTAGTGAAATGAGAGTTCCGTTATCATGGGGATCGTCGCAATCGTATCCCACTAGAGCAACGCTAAAGCGGAACAGGAGAATACCGATGAATATTATTAATTTCATCTGTAAAGTAAAGAAAATGAATGATAGGGTGTTATCCTGGTTCGCTATAGTTTGCTTTTCTTAATCTATTACTATGTACTACGCGTGTTTTATTTCTTATTTTAATTTTGACGTTTCCGTTATCGAGAGCGTCGGTAATTTTGTAAGGTCCTGAATATTCCTTACTTAATTTGTCCAATTTCTGTAGTTTTAATAAGAATACATTATCGTTAACATTGAATTCTACTGCGTGAATTCTCTTGTCATAATAGGACTTTGATTTTTGTTTGGCGTTAATTAAATTGTTCCTAGCCGCAGTCTGTAGCTCATGGACCTTGTCGAATAAATTTAGTAGGTACGATTGATAGGTCTCCGAATCCTTATCGTATTGATGGCTGGATGAAGTGCGAGCGGGGTGCCCGAAAATCAGTTCGTGTGGCGAAAAGCCTGTTCCTTCGTGGATTGACGTGTTGTAAGAAAAACTGGCCCTATCAATTAGATCGTCCCAATGTTCTTCTCGGTTAAGAGGATGCTGAAGTCATATTGTTACCGACCGAACTTCTAATTTTCTGGAAAGTATGGCATTTTTTATTGCTTTGATAGAATTACAAATCCTTTGGTGTAAGTAAAGTGCACATGCTAATCTTTCGGTGGATAGTAAAATTTAAACCAAAAATAAAAAAATTTTTGAAAATTTATCGACAATGTCACCTCAAAAAATTATATCTTTTATATCAAAATTATACTGCTTCAATCTGCAAAACAAGAGTGTGTGCCGAAGAAGAGCGTATGAAACAGTAATGGAAAACCAAAAAAATAAAGCTTAGAGACTTATTTTCAAAATGCCATACTTTTCCAGATTTATGCAAAGCATGCGTGCAATATAGAAGAAAATGGTAAAAAAGAGCTATAGATTAGTTCCGCGATTTTGGGATAGAGGCGCTATACAGTTCTCAGTGCTATCTGTCATATACAGAATTTTTTAGGTTAGTTATGTGTGTTAGTTGTGCGTGTGTGTGTGTGTTTGTGTTATGTGCTACAAAACCCGGCTGAAAAAATGG